CGGGACATCGTGCATCGACCGACGCTGAGCAGGCGGGTCTCACACACACGAAAAGGGCCGAGGTGGGCGGGATGATTTCTTGTCTCGATGCTGCGTTGTTAACAACAGACAGACTGGCAAGACCGACCACTTTAGGCACAACGTCATATAACATCGTTACAGTGTGATAGGACTTGCGTGATTCCGCTTCGTCTCTTTTTTCTTCTCGGCTGCTTCATGGAGCTTGCCGTCCATGGAGCTTGCCATCCAGAAGCTCGTAGCCGGGAGACCTAGTGGAGAGTTGGAGGGGGGACCTCGCTTCCGGATTCCATTCGTGCACGACTCCGGCCTCCATCCACAAGGCTGACAAACAAATTGAGAAGTGTACCAATTCGTTTTTGCCAGCTCATTCGTAACCACCCAACTCAAGTGTCATGTTTGTCGTGCATGGCCACTCAGATCCGAAGCTCTTTTTTTGATCTGCAGCTCTTGGTTTTGAGCGCTCAGCCTGAGCGTGTGGACGCCAGGGAACCAGGGCCCTGGTTGGGGGTTGTAGCCTGCAATCTCCGACGTAGCGCTGTCGGAGTCGGCGGCTTGAGCGAAAGCCTCTTGGAACAGAGCGGCTCATGGCGAGTGAGACCTTGGTTGATGTTGTGGACATCAATGTTCAGGCACACAAGGACGTGGTGGCTGCGTATGACGTGGTCCGCAACAGGCACTTAACCTCCCCGGACCCAACTGCGGCCTCAGAGCAGTTGGTGAGCATGGCATTCTTGAAGGAGAAGCTGAAGGACCTACATTGCCAAAAGTTTGGGTAAAGATGTATTCTTTTTCTGATCAGATTGAAAGATAGCATTGACTTCAAGCAGCATGCGATTTCCCTCAGGACCACAAGTCTGGAAGCTTTGAAGTCCAGGGCATGGGGAACCCCTTCGCGCTCTTTGACCCAGAGGCCCAGGAGGCCTTTTTTCGGTCGCCTGGCGGTATTCCTGACTCCTTTCGCCTCTTGCTCAGGCGAAGCTTTGCAAGAGGCCCGGATTTGCATTGAAACTTCACGATCGCAATTCGATTTCAAAGTGATGTCAGACTCATTGACAACAGCGATTTCGTCCTTGAGTGAATGCGCTGTTTCGTTTTTATATGGTTCTTTTTTTCTGTGGTGTTTTTTTTGAAAGTGGTTTCCGATTTGATGTTGAAACAAAGAAGCTGAGGTGATCACTTTCGTGAGATGCGGCTTGAAGTTGCTTCGAAAGTGGACTCGGTTCTCTCCAGCCGGTGCTGCCTAGGCAGTGCACCCCAACGCTTCGAGTCAGAGGCCAGACCTTTGGCTTGTGTAGCAGTCATGCCAGCTCGGTTTCTGCAGGAGAGGTGCAGCAAAAAAGAGGGACAGCAGATGCAAAACAACATGTCTTGGATCAGCAGCAAAGCTTTGCTCCTGGTTGGTGATTTGGCTGATGCAATGAACGAGGGTTTACACCTCATGGGATGCTTAGATCAGGCCCGGCTTGACTCTGAGAAACTCTATTCTCAAGTCCAAGAGTTCCAGCGCATTCTTGAAGCGTTGTTTGGGGCAAACGGGGCAGCGTGGTCTGCAAGCAGATGCCGAGGCTTGTTGATCAGTCACGTCTACGAGTGTCTCGAGCAGCCCCGAGTCTTGGATATGCCGAGGTCGCGTCGTGTCATTGGCGGTGTGTGTTTTGCGACCGATTCAGCTGATTTGCAATGGGTCAAGAGTGAAGTGGGGAGTTGGATTGCCGCGGTGCTCAGCGGCCTCAAAGCAGAATTTCCGTCGTGGGAGACCAGCCAGAACTTTGCGGCTTTCAACGTGGAGCAAGAATTCGCGAAAGCCGTTGACTGGTCAAAGATGATTAAATGTGTGAAGAGATTGAGCCGACAATTCAAAGTTGATGAGGACGAAGCAGTGACGCAGTTCAAAACTGCTTGGCCGTTGGCAGTCCGCTTCAGGCAGGCAGCAGTAGATCAGAGGACAGGGCACAGCTGGAAAATGGCGATTGAGTCCTTAGAAAGCCGGCATCGACGAGGCAGCGCAGCTGGCTTCAAAGACCTCCGTGCCTTGCGCCTTTTGGTGGCTCGCTGGCAGTCTTTGACCTTTTCGACTTGTGGTGTTGAGCATCTTTTCTCTCAATCAGAAAGGCTATTCCCTGCTAGGAGGTCCAAACTGTGCGTTTCCAAACGCAGGTCTGAACTTGCTTTGATTTTTGGGCAAATGCCCATGGATGCTTTGGCAGTGAGGGCTGCAGAGGTTTGGAAGGAAGTGTACCCAGCTTCTCCGCAGCGGTTGCTTGTGAGATCCGACAAAGGCCTCAAGCCAGGACCAAGGAAAGACCATGTATCCTGGGCGTCGATCCACCAAAAGCGGCGTCGGGCAGTCGGTCGCATTCTACGGAAGCATGCGCCAAACGGCTCGGTCCAATTCGAAGCCAACACCCATGGAGCCAAAGCAGAAATTCAGCTGCAAGAGCACCAGCTTGCAGCCAAGACCTTGGAGGCCAAAACCTCTGGCCACTTGCTGGAGAAAGATCTGAAGGATCCCAGCATTAAGCGTTCGTTGAAGTTGGTTCGGCGGACATTGTCAAAGCAGAAAGCTGTGTCCAATGCCCCGAAGACAATCAAACTCAAAGCGCCTTCTCGGCCAGAAGCTACACCTCTCGCGCATGGACCCTTGAGAGGAGCCGCGTTGAAGAGGGCTCGTCCTCCTTGCGCGCGCTTCTATGTGGATGCTTCGGCAAACCGACTGGATCGCAGGCTGCTGGTAGTAGGGCTTGAGGAAACTCAAGATGTGCTGCAGTCAGACCTCGTCATTTGCGCAACAGGGAGCAAAGCCTCAACCCGTGCTCAGATCGCCTGCTGGCTGACGGGCCCATGAGTGTTTTGTTCGCTCCAGCTGTCCAAGTCAAAAGACTGTGGCTCCATTTTTCTGCAGATTTGAGGGCTTCATCGCTGTTCGCTCTCATAAGCGATGCTGCCAGGACATTTCATTCCAAATGGACTATTTGTGCTGATGAGCATGGCTTCCAACGATGGAAGAAGCAAAAGCCTAGGGAATGCTACGAGGTTCTTTCAACCACAAAGTACAATGAACAGCTAGCACTTCATGGCAGCCTTGTCTTGACGCGACGTCATATTTTGTCATGGTCTGGATTCCTTGAAGGCATCAAGAGACCATTGTCCGTCCAAGATGGAATGCGAAGAGCTTCGTCCTCAGCTTCCTGACAGTGGTCGGAGGCGCTACTGCTGATTCCTTGCAGTCTGCGTCATTTTTCTGCTAAATGGGTCAAGGAATGGGAGCAGTGAGGGTTTGAGGACGAATCGACGACGTGTCACACGAGGAGTACATGATTCTTGAAATAATCGAAACATCAAAAGGCAGAAAATCAGAGATGCTGAGATCCAAATTGGTTCTGACAGACACCCGTCCGACAGGAGTCATGACGATTTCTGGCTACAGCGTGTAGACTCACACATTTTATTAAAGGGGGAGGGGGGGAGGGCTGCAATGAAATGCACATTCAATACACCATCATGCAGTGTTGCATTGTAGGGCATTAAAGCACGCTGCCCCTTTGAAGGATCCAAGCCTACATCATCGCAAAACTTCCCATAGGTTGCTCCACACCAGAAGTCTCTATGTGCAAAAGTACAGAGGCTGACACATCTATAGGCTCAAAACGTGGGCTCCACTTTTGGAACGCTTTATAACCCACAAACCCTGGCACGAGCAGCCTTTGTCTTCAAACGCCCCCTGCAAACACTCGCCCACATGCCAGGGGCAAGTTCCAGGGGCGTGAGCTTGACAGACAGCTCAGAAAAAGTGAGCTTGAGATGGGTGGGGATCATGGGTGCAGTCCCATCCTTTAGGCTTTTTTTTGCAACCCTTTGAGCAAATCCAAGTAGTACTCTATGTTTGCAACTATGAAGCCACGCCATTCGAGGCCAGATGTGCATCTTGCGAAGAGCTTTCTTCATATTATACTCATCTAAGGGCACCTCTTTTGCTTCATCATTCAGGATGTCTTCACGGATCAAGAAGAAGTATATGTGCCTCCTGCTGATCGGGGCCCCATACCAATACCTTAGCGTCAGCTTGTCTCTATTTAATCTGTGTGATCATGCTGTTGATGTTCCAACTTATAGGCAGACAGTGTGGCGGGTTGATAGTTGCAGCTGCAATGCGGTACCTGGAGTAGCTGGTTCTCATTGAAGCAGCTAGGTGAGGGTATCATGGAAATACTAGCTGCTGTCCAAGGCACTCTGGGCAATTGTATGCAATGAGATCATGGATAATCTGGTAGCCTCTCTCAAATCCCATGACATTCTCAAACAAGCATTCCTCGGAGAAAAAAACACAACCGTAAAAATTGATAAAACTTCCACCAGAGCTTGCAGTTAAGGCTCTGCAGGCTTTGTTTTTTTGACAACATCTGATAGCGCCTTGAACAACTGCTTTGCTTCAGGGTCTTGAAGGAGTGCGGTATCCGAGTGGAGAAAACTATAGGATGTGCGTGGGAATCCTGCTGTACAGTGGAGAACCTTGGCAAGTGCAGTCCCATGAACTCTTACACGGGTGAGGGGTTGGCAACAAAGCTCCAGACAGCACCTTGTTGCCTAGCCAATTGACGGGCTTGGAGAAGACAGTGTTTGACAACCTCAGTTCACGTGACATAACAAATAGCCATCATTAAAGACATTGAAGAAAGCTGGATTGTCCGGTGGTAAACGCTGTGGAGAAGCTGCTGGCAGGAAAAGTTGCGCTTCAAGGATTCACGTGCTCCAGTCTTGATTTCACTGGCCGACCTCAATAGTATTCAAGTGTAACAGTTCCAGTATGGTCTCTGAAGCAAAAAAACCTGAAAGATAAGGCACAAATATCTCAACTTGTCCTCCTTGTGGGCAGCTTCAAACAACATCTACAGGGCCACGAATGGAGTGTCCACACCACTGCCTCAGATGTATGGCATGGACATGCCATAGACAAGTTGCAATCGGACGCAAAGGTGAAATGTCCATCAAAGGCGCCAAACCACCATGCAAGGCCACTGCTCTCCAGATACTGCGTCCCAGTCTCCAAGTATCTTATCTGGTCTGGAGACCGATCATCATCATCATCATCACCATCATCATCAGTAGATTCAGACTCAGAGGAACTTGCACTTGTCGTTTTTGACTCCGATTCGTTCTCACCCGGTTGGCGCTTGATGTGTGAAATGTAGGTTTAGACTGTAGGACAAATTGAGGTATTTGTCCCTTGGACCAGTGATCTAAAATTTAGGCTCTTAGTTAGTTCTTGCACCAGCTGAAATGCTCTTTCCTCTTTGTTGAAAGGCCTCTCCACTTGAGCCCCTCTTCTTTGAAGGCCTTGAGCCTCCAAACTTCAAAGAGCTAGTTTGATACTGGACAAGACCTGGTTTGGACTGGATAAGGTTAAGAGACAAGCGGCCTTGTAGTTTCGTGATTCTCACTTGGAAGTAGCCTTGATCTGATCCGACTGATCAAGCTGACAACCGGCTTTGACATGCACAAGTCATAAGCATGACAACTCCGCAGGGAACGCAATGCTTCACATGACGGCTTCTGACAAATATTTTGAAATGGCAACTTTTGTTCTTCAGAAAGCCAGGCTGAGAGACACACAGATGAGTACTGGATCAATTGTTTTGGAAGACACAAAGGGTATTCTACGCCTCCAAATCCCATCCAAAAGCCTGAAGTGACCAGAGGGCTGCCTCAGCTGTGCTTAGCTATGATTTGCAATGGAGTCAGCGCCCAAGCCTCTTAGCCAGCCTTTCTTTGACAGTCTTTAATGAGTCCTGGAACTTCTGACTTGGCTATTGGATTGGATCTATTCTTTGAATGACACAGTCCGCATCAGCTCAGGTTTGAGGTACCCAAACCATGGGTATCATTCTGGCCAAGAGAGAGGAGGCGGGCCTTGCAGCACCAGTATATATTCATTGATAGGCCAATAATCTTGGGGAATTACATTCGGGGAGGAAGTACTTTGTGCCTGCCACATGCTACCACTATGGTGTGCATATATATATATATGTATTTTATATGCACACATTTATATACACACACATCTTCAACATAGATACTTGATCTCGCTACTCATGATGTTGTACAACTCTAATTACTGGAGTTGGCTCCAAGGAGCGGATCGCCTTCAATCAGACGAGGGCGCGTGAGATGCTCAGTGTGAGATCTCTCGGGCTGTTCCAGTGGAATTCAAATCCTAAAGGGCCCAAACTAAAGGCACCATGAGCCACATTAATATATGTGCTATTATTCTTTAGTTTGAGGTCAGACTTGTCTTCGTTTTTTGGATGGATCTGCGGAAACATGCTGCTGGCACTTTGTTCAGGAGCTGCCGCCTATCTCGAAAAATGCCGTCCCGACTATGTTGAGGACCTTATTGTTATTATTGGTGGCTTTCAACCATCACGCCTTGGTGTACAGCAAAAAGCGGAGCGTTTTGCAATCTTGCTCATCTCTGCATTGCATATGTTGGCGCAGGATGACGTTCTGCTAGGGCTTGCTCCAGATGATGAGGACTCATCACTGAACCCTGCTGCTCCCGTGCAGATGTCTTTTGCTGATTTTCAGAAGGCATACAAGCTGACGACAATTGGGTTAGGACGCAGAAGAAAAGTCAGACGAAGACGAAGATGCAGAAGCAGAAAAGAAGGCAACGTCAGACTTTCTCAGTGGGATGTCATTTCTCATGATTGCGATGTCCTCAGACCACATGGATTTCAGTGGAGTTGCAATACGAACATTTAGGACGAAGAGGAAGAAGAGGATGAAGACGATGAGGATGATGAGAAAGAAGAGGAGCCAGACAACGAAACTGTCGATGAAAGGCTATGGAGACATTGTTGAACAGCAACATAGGACGAGAAGAAGCTCATGGCAGAAGCAAGCTCGAGGTAGTCCTCAGACAGAAGCATCTTGCACAGACCTATGCCTGCAAGCTAATTCAGTATTAAAAGGTAATGATCGCACTCGCTTTGAGAAAATTTCAGCACTTCTAACGTCCGCCTGACGCCTGTACCACCGACAGGGCCAAAGAGCGTGTGCAAGCTGAGCTGAAGAAGTTTCGCCAGGCCGCCGTGAAAGGCTTGGCCGAGACATAGCCGACATGACCTATCAAAGTCCTGTGCCCAACAGAAATTTACTGGCACTATTTGGAAAAGCCCTAATAATCCTAATAGGTTTGTTGAAGAAGGTGTGAGATTTGGGCTTGCGCTGATCGCATTGAAGCGCTTTTGCTTTGGCAGGAAATCGATGGCAGCTTGTGAAGATGACCCGCTCTCCGTCGGCCACTTACGGAACGATATGACATTGCAAGATTGCAAGGGATATATATATATATGGTGTCTTGGTTCCTGATGTCCAGCTAGTGGATGCTTTGGCGGGTGTTTCATTGTTATTCGAACGAGTTCCAAGACATGCAAGCGGCACGGCAGCCACGGCAGCCAGCGGGCTTCTTCTGAGGCACTTGGCCATAGATTCTCCAGATCAACATGGCCCCAGTCTCAGTCACATGCGTCGAGCTACATATTAGTACAAACATGTACAAAGAAAGTGTGTGATCCTGGGGTAGTCGCCGACCTGTGGACAATCAACGTATAGATTGGGCTTGAAGGGAACATGAACGACAGCACCACTGATGGAACTCAAGAATTATACATGATTATACAATGTAATCACTAAGGATCATGAACTTGAGTGCTGCCCGATTGCATACTATTGTGTAAAAGGCCGTACTGCTCTTCATCTAGCTGCAGAGCATGGACAGCACAGAGCTGCCGGAATCCCAATTGTTGTTATTGTTCTTTACTTAGCGACATTGGCGCATACCTTGAAGAGTTGCCACAAGTTTTCCCTGCGCGAAACCTTGGATATCGTTCGCAGTTTGTACTTGCATGAATGCCGGCGTTTACTTGGCTAAAAAGATTTTGGAATATAATATAAGGTGTCAGTGACCAGCGTTTGCAAGGTAGAGATTCTTCTCGGTGCTCGATCTCGACATGATCCGCCCTCAGCATGGTGGCTATAAGTGGAACGTTGCAGCAGCTCTACTGTTCTGTTGACCCCAGCAGGCTTGCGTCCCAAGGATATCAAGACGAAGATGGGGTGGACACCGTTGCACGTTGCTGCATTCCATGGACAGGCAAGAGCCATGCCTGTAGGTGCTAAGCGAGAAGTTAAGTTTCCCTAAACATCTAAGAACCAAATGATTAGTGCGTGAGCTATCCTGCGTCCATATGTAGTTAGCTTTCTTGTAGCTACTAGCTACCTAGCTACTGCTAGCTACCTCTAGCCACTACCTCCCTCTTAGCGGCCTACCCCAGGGGCTTAAAAACAACAGGCGTTTCTTATTCCACTGGCTAATCCTACTCGCAGACCCACTTGTATTCAGAATGATAGGTGGCCTGCATCAACTTGATGCTCCAATCCACGGCAGATGTGAATGCCAAGGACTCCTGTAAGCTTTAAGCTTCGCCTTACGTGTCCTGACCCAACTCCCAGGAGAAGCACGGTTGCACTCCACTGATGTTTGCAGCATCATCTCCAAAGCTTGGAGCTAAAGTTGCTCCATATGTGGACCATGAACACATGCGAAGCTGGAATTTCATCGCTTTTAACTATATAACGCACTGGGGAAGCTCCGGCCTGGCCCAGAGTGCTTTCCAAAAGAACGCCCTTCGCTCTTAGGTTGTACCTTGTTGACTTGGTTTCAAAGAAAGATCGGGCGAGAAGGTTGAAGGCACGCAGGGGCCATAGTGCTGAAACTCATGGTGGAGTAGAACTACAAGAAACAAGTTGACAGTGGATTCTGAATACGACCGCGCCGTTATTTGTGAATCCCGGTGCTTCAAGTATGGTCTCTTTTGTCCATAGATGTTACGTCATGCGGTCTCAGCTGCTGCTGATGACTGAGGTCAAGATGCTCTAAAGGCACTGCGAGAACAGGAAGACGACCGACTAGATGCTGACCTTGCAGGCATTGACATCACCTGGAACTGTTCAGCATCTCTTTGTTGGGGTCAGTTGGGCTTCCTGCTTGTAGACTATACAGTCTGAACACATGAGGGATTAGGTTTGAGTTCCCGTAGCTTTGACATCGTGTTTGAATGTGTTTGATTTCATTTTTTCCAAAATGTGTGCACCCTGACAGCTGGTCTTGGCAAAGAGATGGGCGCTGGAAGTGTTTCAACTACAGCACCCAATGTAGTGGGAAGCTCAGCACATTGAGTGATGCTGAGAGTGCAGAGCTTTGCACACGGGGACCGTCCCTAGGTTTGGAAGTTTTATCCGAATCGCATTGAAATCTTGGTTCTGAATGCCTTGATCTCTTCACCGAAGATCAAGGCGCGGAAGAACAAGCGACGGGCTCAAATCCGGCCTGGCCTCGTTTGCAGGTGGATGCTTTTGACAATCGTCGCCAGACTGCCCTGCTGTATGCTGCACGCTTTGGGCGCACATTTGCTGTGAGCCGCCTGCTGGATGCTCGAGCCAACATTGGATTCGCTGATCGGGTGCCATGCTCAGAGAGTCTTGTCGTGTCTTGTCACATAGTGAGTCTTGAGTCTTTGAGCAAACAGTCGACTATATTGAGAAGCCCTCTCAATCCGCTTTGACCCTCAGGAAGGGCAAGTTCCGTTGTTCGCAGCAGCATGCAATGAACATTTGGACACAGTTGACCTACTTCTTCGAGCTGGGGCCAACATCAACGCAACTGATCAGCCTTGAGCTTAGCCAACGTGCTAAGAGCAGACATGAGAACATTCACAGTCTTTACGAATTGAAGCAGAAAGCACTGCATCACACTTTGAATCGCACACTTTGAATCCGAGTGGCAGAGTTCCTACATCATCGAGGTGTCATGGTGTTTTCTTCACAAAGTACTTTGTGACAGCAGGCTGAACTGAAAGAAAGTCTGTGCGACTGGAGGTACTTCCGAACACCCCTTCATGGATCGCTGGAATGCGGTGATGAGAGTATGTCGAATCTTCTTCTCAAAGCAGGTGCCAGCTGGGGCCACAGAATCTACGCGATGAAATTGTAGAGATACCAACATGGGAAACTGGAATTCACAATGTTATTGATAGGAATTACAGGGAATGTCAAAGGAATGCCAAATTAAGGTCAAGTCCAGAATGAATGTTGCATTTAAATAGTTGCAACCTTCACGACTAGTGACTCGGCTTTACACCCGATCTGAGGTGTGAATGCGTACGACTGCGAAGGTCGTACACCCATCATGCTTGCCATGGACAGGGGCAACCGTCGTTTGTTCCAAAAGATTGCCAGGACCTGAGCATGCTCCTGAGTGCGCTCGCATGACGACTAAGCTTTCGGAGTGGTCCTCTTCCCAAGGTGGAGAAGAAATCAAATCTTGATGTGCTGGACAAAAGAGGTTGGAATGTTGTCATCTATGCCATCGAGACACAGATGTTGTCAGACGTGGGAGCCTGAAAACTCTTTGTCAGAGCAAACTCAGGTTTGCATTGGGTGATTCTGTTCCGGCTTTGTAAGTGAAGTTTCCCAAGAAATCTGGGAGCCAAATGAATAGTGCGTGAGCTATCCTGCTTCCTAAGTACAGTAGCTACCTGCTACTACTAGCTTCTCCCTTACTTAATTAAGTAAGCGCCTACTTAATTAAGTAGGGAGGGGGGGAGCGGGCTTTAAAAAGACGGGAGTCTCCCAACTCAGGCTCCCTCAGACACCTTGCATCCTGCGTCTCGATGCTTTGAGGTTTATCCATTGTTGATGAAGCTGAACAAGAATGCAGCGATCATTTTGCGAGCTCGAGACCCTCAGGACAGCCGTTAGCCACATGATTTGGTCTTTTGTTTGTTTCTAATCACGAGAGCTAGCCTCAGCTAGCTGGAGTTGCTCTTGGTTTAGCAAAGGAATTGGGGGGTGGACGGCAGCCTCAAGACTTTAAAAATTTTGTTTTTTCAATAATATAGGTCTGGTTGTTTTATAAATCTGCCGAGGTGTCCGGTGTGCTGCCCTTGAAAGCACCACCCCTGCACAAACAGTACCGATGAGCAAAGATGAATGCATGAGCCTGGTACACAGCAAAATACTTCGACACCTTACTACCAATACTACCATATCAATATCTAATCTATTGGCTCCCTGCATCCCCTTCCACACCTCGCACACTACTCAACGTAGTCACAGCAACCACGGACCATCATCATTCTTGACTCTTGCTGCTTCCAATGTCCTTTGCTAAAGGGTTTATCATACCATGTCGTTGAAGTCCCCGGCAGCCGAAGCACCGAAGAAGCTGTGATTCAGGCGCAACAACACATGAGCAACCGACAAAATTATTGGAATACTAAATATGTAAGAGGCCGCCCTGTGCTTATAGAGAAGTGAATAAATCCTTGGCAACCGATAGGGGACGACCCAGCACCGATACCCCTATACCTACCAAGATTGTTTTGGTTGTTATTGTTTTTCGATGGGTGTGAATTGGAATCCAAGGTGCTTTTCAATATGAGTAGTTCTGAACCTTAGTGGGTTATGTTGCAAGAGCTATCACACCATTGTCAAGTGAGTTCGCCGATGAGGTTTCAATAATTAATGAACAACATTTTGGTGCTTACGCCGTGGAATGAGGGCGCTCTCACGGACAGCTCAACCGATACTAGTCGATACCATGTTTTGCAGACTTACATGCTTTGGTGCCCCTTGTCCCATTTGATGGGTGACACTATATTCAGGACCATTGCGGGTGTCCATGCAGATCTCTCATGTTTGTAGCTGCAGTTTTCATTTCTTAGCGTCCACATGGTAGAGTAGTTTCAGCTGATTGCAATGTCTCCTACGGCCCTACGGGTGTTTACAGTAAGGCGGGCAAGGAAGTACAAGGAGGCATTGGAAGATTCTGCAAACATGTCAAATCACCAGATGATGCAGACATCCGATGAAATTAACGGGAACATTGGCAGACTACAACTGAGGAGACTGAGGAGTAAACACAAGCAACAACATTTGGCCAAGAAAAAAGCAAAGCATTGTGAAAGCAGGTCACGGTCAGAGCACCAGCTCAGAATCCAGCTCCTCGAGTTCAATGTCAGATAGCACCAAAGGAGATGCTACTCTGCTGTTTGCTTCCGCAAGCCTTTCACAAGATACTCGCAGTTTCAAGCCCCGAACTGGAAACACAACCGCGCACCAGTCAAACCGCAACATGGGAAGCCTTCACAACCGATGCTTCACAAATGACACCATCATGAGATCACATTTCAAATGCCTAATTCTTCATAACCGATAGGGGGCGACCCAGTTTGGCATATGGCATATTGCATGAACAAATAGTTTTGTCCGCACCTCACATGTCTCAGATCTTGGTCTATTTGCTGGCTTGCTTGTTTGTATACGTGTTTTGTTGTTTCTGTGCTTGCACGTTAGCTTCCTTTCTTAGTTGTCTGTCTGTGTTTCTGTAATGATTTTGTTGTTTTGCTTTCAACCAAAACTTCACGGGCTCCGCACACAGAGGAGCCACTCAAGACCCTTCAGCTTTTTGCGTCGGAACCAGAAAACATGCCCAGCACTGGCTAGCGGCTAGCTTTCAACCACCTGGCCTCAAGTGGAACATGGAGTTGGTCAGGGATAGTGTGTCTCCGTTTATGACACTGTTCCAAACTGTTGTTTTGGCTGTGCCTATTGCGGCCAGGGCCTCAATGCCTTGCATCATGCAACGCAGCTGGCGAGTGCGGAACTCTCGACGAAATGCGTGCAGCAACTCACGAACTTGGATTTTGAGGCCAGGACAGGGAGACTTGGAGATGGACGGTTGGAATTGGAGTTCTTCATGTTAGAGGCCATCGCTATTAGGTTGGAGGCCATCGATAGTAGGTGCCATGATGTCAAAGCTTCTCTGTGGTGTGGCCAGATGCTTTCGGGGTTCACAGGGTGAAACAACATGATCTTCTCATGTCTTCTCCTTGCTCCTAGTAACTTCTTGTTCCTAGTAGTAAGGCCAGGAGCCCCTAGTAGCTTCTTCTCTATCCTGCCTAGGCTGCAACGATCGGTGACTGCAATGGCGACACTGCAATTCACTCTGCAGCCGAGCGAGGGCGCTTGGAGGCCGTGTAGGGATGACACGTAGGTCATAATTGCCAAACCGTTTGTTCGCATTTTGTAGTACATAATAATTATTGGTATCTCCTGTTCTTCAGGAACCTCATAGTTTTGCCCTGGCAGGTACTTCGCATCTTCATTGAGAGGCTTCCATCCTTGGACTTTTTGAACAATCGTGGAGAAACACCCTTGCACTATGCAGCGTTGCCCTCTCAGAAAGTCTTGCTCTGCACACCTTACAGGTACTGTAGATGTTTGCACATTGTTCTTGCAAACCACAATGTCTTTCTGTTTGGAAGAGCAACTTGCAGACGGAAATAAACACAGAAAGTCTGGTGCATGTTGGTCTCTACTTGGACAAGGCTAAGCCTGGTGCATGTCTGTCCGAACCATGCCGAGAGCGGCGCATCCCGCATCCCAAGGCGTGGAGGTCACATGGCCTGTGTGGTTGCACTGCTCCACGACGCTGGGGGACGGCAAGCATCTTGCGACGCGGGCGCCGTTGATTCGCATGGTCTTTCGGCCAAGAAGAGTGAGGAAGAGCGAGTTGAAACAAATTCCGGGATCGCCGGGATGGATATGCAACAGCGCTAAGCCAAGTCTTGTTGCCTAAACAAGAAGTTTCGGTTTGGGTTATATAATTACTTCTTTGATTGAGAGTATAATGTTTTTTCGCCTGATCACTGAGAAGCTTGTAAGTTAATTGACATGACAGGGGTTGTTGTAGCGGCACACGCCACCGCCAGTAAGTGCTTCCATGGCCGTTGCTAGCAAGGTGCAATTGTGTCTTTGGTGAACCAGTCTTTGAGTCTTAACTTATAAGACGTGTGAAGCCCAGGCTGGAACCTATTGATGCATGCATGTGTCTCGGGGCACTTGGATTTAGTGAACCTCCTACTTCAGAACCGAGAGGCTGGGCCTCCACATGTGAGGAATCAGGGATGTTCCTTCGGTCAACAGATCATACACAGTGGGTTGTGCATGTGCTGTTTGTGGTCAGGGCCAACATCCAGATTTGGCCTTTGCACCCCTTGATGTGAATCATGGGGACACCGGAGGGTCGGCAACTCAGTGCAAGTGATGACTGTTGGTTTATGATGGTTTATGTATGTTCATGTACGGATTTGTGCCAACATATTCTTTGGTGTGAGCTTTCAATGCAGCGAGAAAACTCTGGACACTTGCGCGATTGTGACGGCCGGTTTTGGGGGGACATGTATCATGTATAGTCATTTATAGTTTATATGTCTACGTTTAAGGCAACTGGATGCCCTCAGACTCTCAATATGTTTTGCTCTGCAGTATGTGATATTTGAGGGTCAATGCGCTGTGTGTGGCTGCCAGAGAGGGGCTTGGCTGACGTGTTTAGAACGGCGGACTTTGGATGTCTTTAGATGTCTTTAGTCATTTTAGTTGCAGTCTGTTTAGTTCCAGTCATCCTTTAAAAGCCTTTGGGCCCAGAAATGAAATGGAGAAGAACCTTGCTCCCAAATAAACTTGAAATGGGAAGAGCAATGAAGGACAAAGACGGACTCACTGGTTGGGACTTTCACATGAATTCCCAGCACCTGAATGTGCCCACGTCGCTTCTCGCTGCCTGAAGACCTTCCAGATGATTCGCGTCGATTTGCCGAGAAAAGAGTATGCAACTTCCCTGTTTTGGTGTGAGTCCCAGTCTTAGACTGGCTCTTGTGATTCTGATGGAGTCTTCAATCAGGCCGTCGAAGAAAACACATAAATAAATATATAGTGTTACTAGTCTAGTAGCTTTTTGTTCCTAGCATAGAATAAATATCAACGATCTGACTGAAGCTGAGAACACCTAGCCCAGTGCTGAGCCGTGACAAGCAGAATACAAGATCAAGCAGGTAGTCCCACAAATGGTTGTAGGTTGTTCTTATGTCGTTTCCGCGATGGCTTTCCATGCCGATTTTTCAAAGAATGGGGCAATTCGCTTGGTGTTTCTCGCGGCAGGCATTGGCAGCTGCTGCCATCCCTGGTACTGTCTGGGTCAAATACGAGTGCCAAGGTTCCTTGGCACTATCAAGTTGACTTTGGATCACCATCAAGTAATTGGGAGGCAGCAAAGACTTCCTGTTCAACGCGAGTGTTAACCATGATTCATGATGTGTGAGCGATTGCAGGATCGTGATGGTTTCACCGCAGTGCACTGGGCAGCCATGGAGGATGAAGCCCTTACCATGTTGGGGCCTTAGTATCACGATGGCCTCACTCACATTCTCCACTCAGCATCATGATGGTTTGCCCTTGAGGAAGTGCCTGCTCGACCTGGGCCTCGATGCCAATGCCAAGGACTTCAAGGCCAAAGAGGATGAGCTTTCATTCTCGTTCCCTTTTCATTCATGCGACACAGAAGAAATAGATACATTCAGGATCATATTTATGATCTTCCGTAAAGATGGAGACTTCGTCAAGACACAGAAGGGCCTTGTGGATGCTTTTGTTCCTTTTGGCCCCGACTCAAGGGCTGGACTCCTTTGATGCATGCCTGTGCGCGCGGAGCTGACGCCTTCCCGGCTTGCTTCATGTGGCATGTCATGACTCCCACGCTGAGTTGACTGAGTTGAGGGCTGTTTTATTCTGACCAAACAATATGCCATCTTAAAATCATGCTCGGAGTCCTTAGAATGGCGATAGGGGCATTTCACACTTTTTAGGTTATCGACCATACGCTACTTAAGTCCTTGTCTCGACCCTTTTAGGCCCGTTGCTCACCTTACTCATGGACGTCCTGCATCAAAGAATCTTGCTAGTGGACTCGCCTTTTCTGAACTCTACGGACTTTCAGACACATTTTTCACCACAGGAAGTGGTCCGCGTGCTTGTGGACTTTTCTGCAGAGATCGATGCACGGAATTGGGTGAGACACGGGCATGACATGCTTAGTTGCTTAAAGAAGACCACATGTTGCCATGTTTGCAAGGATTCTAAGCCATGCTTCGATGATCTTAGAGCCTTTTGTTCACTTAGCCCTAGTTTGGAAGTTGCAAGCCGGCTGGACGGATAATTTGCAGGATGGTGACACGGCACTACAAATCACCCAGCGGCGCCGTGACCCAGCTGATGTTGTAGCAGTCACGAAGGAGTGGCAGCTGGCTGCACTTGCCAAGTGTGCTCTTGCCAAGTGTGCTCTTCCAATTGCAGCGAAACCATAGCTTAACTAAGCTCTCGCAGGACATTCTTTTGGACGGAATCATGACCTCAGATGAACCAGCAGGATGCCAAGTTGGCCAAGATCCACTTAGTCTCACTTGGCTGGAGATCGAAGTCTTTGTGACCCCCCCACCCACTTCGCCTTTCATCAGTTCATCATACTTCATCAGTTCATCGTAGTGCAGCTTCAGGTTTTGGACTTCAGCATCCATTTGTTTCTGTTCTCTGTTTCTGTTCAGTATTCTTGGAACATCAAGTCTTTTCTGTGAAGCCGAGGCCAAGGGTGGTGCCGTGAAGGCCCATGGTCACATGATGGTCTCTGTCCTTGAGGCCCTTAATCCGCTTGGAAAGGCCCGTAATCACCTCGAAATATCTCTCCACGCGTTCTAGGCCACGGATTTGTACCTCGAAGGGAAGACAGGATTTGTGAGGCAGCCCAGAGGACGCAGCACTTTTGAGAGTGGTAGAAGATGGTTTGTTATGGTTTGTTTGATGACAAGATACTCTGATGTAGAGCAAAGTCTTAGCGATCATCTTTCAGATTTCTTCTGAAGAATTGAACACATCCTCCAACTGTCTCATGCCATGCGCGCTGCTCAAAGCTCACGTTGCAATCACGAGGTGAATGCATCGCACATGATGCGCCGAGGTGAATGCCTATGTGAACCTTCAACTGCGTACACAATCTGGAGCTAGACCTCAGGTGACGCCATGGTGACACTGACGTTTTCGTACTGGTGTTTAAGGGTGTAATAACGGTGACACTCTGAAAGTGCACGCCGAGTCGTAGACTTGCCAACAAGCTTGATGTCATGTTTCATGTGCTACAGGGTGCCTCGGAGTGTTTGGATCACAGGCAGCATTCACCTCCTGTGTGCTTCAGAACTCATCACCTGAGTGGTGCAGCCCTAAGACTTTGCAAGCTAGTGGCAAGCAACTTCTGTGAAAAGCCTACCAAAGTGTTTCCTATCCAGCGTGGCCTCCAGTGCTCACAGTTGGATTGCCTCCACATGTTTGCGGGGTGTCTATACCCAGACACCTTGAAATCCATTGAAATCCTTTACAGCTCTACTGTTTGTTTGTCGGCTCACGCTGTGACTTGAACCTTTGAAAGGCATGAAGTCTTTCGCTTTGATACCAGCCACTTGGACCCCAGCGCTGTTTTGGTCGCTTGGGTGGCCGGCGACTGAGACAAGATTCATTCCATTTGAGTCTTGGGATAGGTTCGTTGGCGTTCGCCGTTTTTCCGACAAGGGTGATCTCTAGAAGAGATCACACCATGGCAAGGGTGTAGCTGGGTCTGCGATTTTCATAGAGCCACTGTCCTAAAGCCGGGAAACAGAAAGACATTCCGCCCATGGCGCTTGGCAACTTTTTTAGTTTGGACGCGACATCAGGTGGCAGCTCCGGGTGAGAACACCAAAGAGGTCATGGATGGAGCCGCTCTAGGCTTGGATGAGGTGCCTTTGGGCAAGTGAAGAGTTAAATTGAAAGTCTTTGACAGGTCAAGAAAGAGCCAGAGTGAGTGGTCAGAAACACCAAATCTATCCAAACCTTCCATCTCCAAATGCACCCAATCCTCCTCCATGAATAAGGTGAAACACTTTTGTACCTGTGGAGGAAGAGCTGCAAAACCTCTCTCACATGGAAGCGGTTACAGGGAAGTGTGGCACCAAGTTTTGTGCTCATGTGCATCACATCACATGACTTGACCTGCTGCATAAGGACCTTGCACCAAAACAAGCCACAGTTCACCTCGGCCTTACAGGAGTCAACAGAGCAAACTGCTCATCCGAATCCTGTGAAACGAGACAAACGACGTTCATCCCGGGGCGCTCGGTCGACACGAGGAGTCGTTTCAGCGGCTGATGAAGCGATCGGATCGTGAAGAAGATGCAGAGGCGTCGTGGGTTCTTGTGGAAGGGTCGGGAGTGTACGTTCCCGACTGGCATCTTTTTGTTTCTAATTGCTTCTTGCTACTAGTAGTAAGGCCAGGAGCCCCTAGTAGCGTCCATGCTCCTACCAGGAATCGACTTGCATTCAGATCATTCAATTTTAAGGCCCTTCTGCGACTAAAGCTTAGTACAGTAGGTACTTAAGCCTACTATATAGTGGCCTACCCCTCCGCGGCCTTAAAAAAGGAACGCACAAAAACGCCGCAGCTGGGATTGAACTTGGGACAATCAACGAAAACGGTGTCTTCGTGAGGTGCTGAGGCTCCGGAAGTTGGCCATGGCTCAACTCACAGACACCATGCCAGAGACTAAGTCGCCCTCCGTACAGTAAGTAGAATGCTTCGAAGTGGGATGAATCTGTGAGGCCAACAGAAGACTTGAAGTTCTCCCAGGCCCAAGTGAAGGCGTGTCTGGCAGATGCCAGGTCTTTTTCAGGATTGAAGCATTTTGACATGAGCTTACGGCCTCGTTAGTTAAGACGAAGTAGGTTGACTGGTTTCTCCCGAAGGGTTTGGGCTCTCAGCGTATGTCGTGCACCCTTTGTGGTGTGCGAACCTCGGAGCCGGACTCGAAGTGTACGTTCTGCCGAGCTAGGGACCGGTTCTGGGTTGTCTTGGACGAGCTCCCGTTCGAGCTGAGAGGCTGGGCAATCTCGAACCTCCGAATCTGGGCAGGAATCGTCCAGGAGGAACACGAGAAGTTCACCTCGCCTCTGAAGCAGCAGGAGGTTGTTGACAACACTGCGGCCCCGAAGTCAGCCGGCCCTAGCTTGGTCAGTAAATCTCCCACGGAGGGGAGAGAGTTGAACCTGAACGACAAGGCGAGTGACTTGAGGAAGGAAGGCCCTCAGACAAGCCCAAAAGGAGCAGAGGAGACACTTGAAGGACCAGACAAGAGCTGGATTGAGCCCAAGCGGGAGAAAGACAAGAACAGAAGCCCAAGAGGAAGCCCAGGAGTTGAAGAGTTAGACCTCCCAGAAGGGGAGGGGAAGTATTCGAGTGGCTCAAAGGCGCCTAAGGAGGAGGAGGAGAAGAGCAAGAGGAAGAGAAGCAAGAGCGACAAAAGAAGAGAGAGGTCAAGAAGTAAGAGATCAGGAAGAAGGAGGAGAAGAAGTTCATCGAGGAGGCCAAGGAGCCCGAAGGTGGAACGAGAGAAAGGTCGAAGCAGTCATCAGGCAGGACAAGGCAAAGAAAAGAAAGCAAAGCCATCCGTCAGACCCCCAAGGACACCTTCACGTTCACCGCCAGGAAACCGGGGAGGACCACCTCCTAAACAACCGCCTGTAGCAAGGCGCGGCGGACCACCTCCACCGGAGCAACGACCAACCGGTCGCCAGTGGTCATCAGGTCCATTCCAGGCGTGGCAGAGGCAACCCCAGTTCTGGGGAACCAACAAGGGGCGAAAGAAGAAGGAAGAGCAGTACTACTTCAGGAGGTAGTACGAGTCCGTCGGACTCCCTTCAATGGCATTGCGGAGACCAGCAGCAAGAGTTGAGAGGAGAGAAGAAGTGAGGAGAGAACCTCCCAGAGAAAGGGGAGGAAGAGTGAAGAAACGCCCAGCCGGAGCAGATCCTGGGAGACCAGAGGCTGTCGAGGTGAGAGGCGGTGCAGAAGGGCGACTGTTTGAGGAAGGTCAAGCAGTGAGATGTCAGAACATCCCGTTGGAACTGCTCAGAAAGCGGCTCCCGGTGACAATCACGGGCCGTTACTGGGGGGGACCACGCGAGATCTCAGGCTTGGTGCGAGGGATTCAAATTCGTGGCAAGGAGGACGTAGAGGTCGAGGTGGACCTTCAGGGCACGACGACCGAAACGATCTTGCATTGGGCGACAGGGTCCTCGGAGAAGGTCATGCGCATCCACATGTGCGGAGGCCTATGCGAGGCTATGTTGGATGCAGAAAACCTCCTACATGGGGAGGAGATCAAGATGAGGAAGGGAGAAGACCCAGCCTGGGCTGTGAACCTGATCGACGAAGGACGTTCAGGGGTGAAGAAGGCAGGGGAGGCAGCTCCCGAAAGAGACCAACCGAAGGAGAAAGAAGAGAAGCGAGAGGCAGAAAGAGGAAGGAGTCGAGAGAAGGAGAGGAAGAAAAAGAGAAAGAGGAAGGGGAGATCGTCCAGCGAGGCACATTCTCCCAAGGGCGAGGACAAGAAGAAGACGTCCATTCGCGCAATGGCCCGCAAGAGTCTCAAGAGCGTCTTCGAAGGTACGGGCATGGATCCAAATCCCAAGGTGAGAAAAAAGATCACAGCAAAGGCATCGAGGAGAGCAAAAAAGAAGAAGAAAAGTTCATCGGGGAGCTCATCCACGGAGTCGAGCAGCGAGTCAACCGACGAAGAGAGTGGCGAACTCTTCGAGGAGACCCAAAAGGTGAGGAAGATAGGTCGCTTCGCCCCGGGTGCGCTGACGACGGCAGGCTGCCGCGAGATGGCGAGCAACCTCCTGAACTCCTCAGGAGGCATCTGGGATCAGTCGGAGGGTGCGCTTCAGCCCATTTGCTGCCAGTATTTCCGACAGGTTTTGAGCGCACGCGTGACCGGAGGTCAATCTCGCGAAGCACTTACCCTGAGTTGGTGCCTCGACTTGCTGATGCAAGGACGAGTCGCCGAGGCTTCAGATGGCCTCACGCAGAGGCTGAAGGCCATCGAGATGAGCGCCCAGGGGGCCAGTTGGTCGATATCGCAGCGGATCGAGTTGGTCCCTGCGGAGAAGCCAATCATATCCAGCCGTGCGGAAACGCGAGAGGCCATCAAGGAGTCCAAAGAGGAGAACCGCACCCGAGCAGAAGCCAGCAAAGGAAAGACCAAGGGAGATTGGCCAGGAGGTTGGCGAGATACGCCATGGCAACACGAAAAAGGAAAGCCAAAGAAGGAAAGGGCAAAGGAAAAAAGGGCAAGGAGAAGGAACAGGGGAAGAAGCAGGAGGCTTGAGGCCGCAGAAGGATTCAGAGGTCGCGGAAGCGTGCAGTGAGGTTCAGCCTGGTGAGGAGAGCCAGGCAAGTTTCTCCAGCAGCAGTGTGGTTGAGCCTTCGTTAGATTCAGCTGCACTGGGTACAGATGCCAAGCGGCGCCATTTAAAAGGGGTGGCCCTGGCAGAAGAAGCAGGTGTGGACGCCTTTGAGCCCGTCACAACCTTGCGAAAAGTTTGCATGAAGCCGCCGTGCGGGGGAGAAGACTTGGTTAGTGTTTTTCCCTGGGTTATTTCCATCTTAGTTGAAGCTAGCTCCAAGATTGAGTTGCCTTTGCAGTGCATGACCCAGCCCACGGGCGACCTGTTTCCGTTGCCCACTGAGATGGGGGTACTCAGGGAAACGCTGCAGGTTCCAGATGAGGTTGCCGTTGTGATTCGAGGTATGCGCGTTGCCTTGAACTGCCTTTACGGGGTGGAGTTTTAGAACCCTTTCTCACCAGTGGCTCTCCAGGTAGGTGTGCTGAGGTTCCTCGAAGGTCAAACCAGGACAGTATTGGAATGGGAGGAGAAGTTTGAGGAGACATCATGGCAGGAGTTCCTACAGGTAAAGACCATCGATTACTGTGGGGAAGAAGTTCTTTGTGCTCAATACACCACATGGGATAACCTTTCCCCAGCGATGCCCTCTGAGATTGCCTCGGTTCCCTTGGCTGATGTGGTTGAACTTGGATGTAGGCACTATGTGATGAATTTCGCATCGTATATTTTGCCCGAGGAGATGCAGAAGCCAATGAAGCCTCCTCGATTGATGATCAGCGACGAGGCGTGGCCCCGAGTGTGTGAAGGGTTGTTGGGCAATGGAGTGTGCATTGCACTAAAGGAAGCCGAACTTTATCATGTGGGCGGTCGACCCCTCCTAAACGGACTCTTTGGAGTCCCCAAGGGGGAGGAGCAAGGAGGACACCCCATCCACCGTTTGATCATGGATCTTCGACCGGCGAATCTCGTATGTCGTGGCATCGATGGAGACGTCTCCACGTTACCCACTTGGGCGACGATGAGTCCACTGCAACTTATGCCGGCAGAGGATCTGGTCGTGTCGTCTGAAGATGTTCGTTGTTTCTTTTATATTTTCCAGGTGCCTCGGGAATGGTCGACGTTCCTTGGTTTTAACAAACCCATCCCGCGTGAGCTGTGGCCGGATGATGACGGGCCCTATTTTTTAGCCTCACAGGTGCTCCCCACGGGGTTTAAAAATAGCGTGAGCCTAGCACAGCGCGTGCATCGGGCTATGGTGAGGCGTGCGGGGGGTTTAGTTGAGGAGGGGCTCAAGCCAGAACAGGAGATACGAAAGGACAGGCCTTTCTCTTCATCATCAACCCTGCACAGAATTTATCTGGACAACTTTGACTCCCTGGAGAAGATGGACAAGAAGACAGCAGAGCTCCTAAGGGGGGAGCCAAGCGCTAGCATCCTGGCACTCGAGTCAGAATATGAGCGGTGGGGAGTCCCTCGACACCCTAAGAAAGGAGTGGCTCGGGCCTTGAAGGCAGAGGTACAGGGTGCCATCATTGATGGGGTGAAAGGGATAGCTTATCCCAAACCGGCGAAGGTCTTGAAGTATGCCCAACTAGGAAGTCTCCTGTTAGGGGAGAAGAGGTGTTCGGTGAAGCAGATCCAGATCGTCGCAGGAGGCTTGGTGTACATGAGCATGTTTCGGCGACCCCTCTTGGGCTCCTTGAATGCAGTGTGGCGCTTTGTCCAGGAATTCAAGCATTATCCCCCAGTGATCAAGCTGGAGATTCCCCATGAAGTCAAGCTGGAAATTGCTAGATTCATCGCATTGGTCCCCCTGGCACAGATGGACTTTAGGTTGGAGGTGAGCGCTGAGGTCACGGCGAGCGATGCTTCTACCAGTGGAGGAGGGCTCACCCGGAGCATTGGTCTTACAGGCTTTGGTGAAGCAGCAGCCAGAGCTAGTGTGCGGGGGGATGTTGCGGAACCATCTGACCTGTGCGCGGTCCTCACCGTGGGGCTCTTTGATGGGATTGGCGCATTGAGAGTGGCAGCAGATGCTTGTGGTTTCCCAATCCTGGGTCACATCAGCGTTGAAGTAAAGAAGGAGGCCAGCCGCGTCCTAGAGAGCAAGTTCCCCGCTACATTGTTTGTGGAAGGTGGAGTGGAAGCCGTGGACTCGGAGATGGTGCGTGGTTGGGCAGGAAGGTTTTCCCAGGCCTCTCTAGTTCTCTTAGGTGCTGGACCACCTTGTCAAGGAGTGAGTGGTTTAAACAGTGACCGACGTGGGGCCCTGAAAGATCACCGGAGCTGTTTGTTCAGTCACGTGCGGCGCATAAAGGAGCTCCTGAAATCTCATTTTCCTTGGGCACAGGTCAGGTACTTGGCAGAGAGCGTGGCCTCCATGGACCGCAAAGACCGCGAGATCATGTCCCGAGACTTTGGTGACACCCCAGTGAGGATAGAGGCCAGCGGGGTGTCGTTAGCCCGTCGCCCTAGGCTGTACTGGCTGGATTGGGAGTTGCAACCAGGTCCAGGTGTTCGCTTTCACCCGAGAGTTGACCAGGGGATGGCATCATACTATGAGACTGAGCTGCACTCCGTGATTGACCCCAAGGACTTCTTAGAGCCAGGCTGCGTCAAGACATCAGAGGAGCCGTTTCCAACTTTTACCACCTCTCGACCGCGTTCATGGCCGGGAAGGAGGCCAGCAGGCCTTGAGGAGTTGAAGCCAGAGGAGAAAGCTGTTTGGGAAAAGGATAAGTTTCGTTTCCCCCCTTACCAATACTCTCATCGCCTACTTGTCAAAGAAGGAAGCGGTGTGCGCCGAATCCCGTCCATTCAGGAACGCGAGACGATCATGGGATTTCCTCGCAACTACACTGTGCATTGCACGCCAAAACAGCAACAAGGAAGCGAAGCCCATGAAGATGAAAGAAAGTCCTTGATCGGCAACAGTTGGAATGTGACCGTGGTTGTTTGGCTTCTCTCGCAGCTTGGTCATCTGCTGGGGCTATGCGTGGCAAAGACACCTCAAGAAGCGGTGGAAGCGACGAGGCCCGGGGCCGCCATGACAGTAGGAGGGGTGTTGCAGCGACAAGCCATGAGGCGCATCAGGCGCTCAGGGACCGAAGGGGAGTACGAGCTTGTCTCTAAACTCCTAAACATGGTCAGCTTGAAAGGAGAGGACATCATGATCCAGGCACCTAGTGAGGAGACGCTTCGCTACCATCGTTTGAGGGCCAGCTTGCCATCAGCTCTATGGAAGTGGAAGACAGTCATGGGTTGGCCCTGGAAGGGATCTCCTGAACACATCAATGTCCTCGAGATGAGGGCAGCGCTCACTTCTCTCCGCTGGCGCATTGTGAAGAAGAAGGCCTTGCGAACAAAATTCGTGCACCTAGTGGATAGTTTGGTGTGTCTCCACTCCCTGTCAAGGGGACGCAGCAGCAGCAGAAAGCTTCGTCGAACGATGAGTCGGATAAATGCTTTGCTCCTTGCCAGTGGCTCACATGGCGTGTGGGCTTATGTTCACACGAAGGAAAACCCAGCAGATGCGCCTTCGAGGCGCCCCGTAAAGAAGAAATGGTGAGTCATAGCAAAGCGTATGTAGAAGGCAAAGACAAAGCATCCCGACAACAGCAGAGGCGAGCTTTGGGACCACTACGTCACCTAGCTGTTCAACCAGCCACACGAGCACGATATGACAAGGCCCTTGAAAGATTTCGCAACTTCCTTCGAGAAGAGAGCAGGAGATTTCCAGATGATCCCTCGACGCTTGACTTTTGGTTGAGCCACTACATTGAATTCCTGTGGGAAAGTGGAGAAGGCCGAGCCTTAGCTTGTGATTCCATTGCAGCAGTCCAAGACTACCGCCCATCGGCCAAGGGGAGGCTCCCATCCTCCTGGAGACTGATGAAGACATGGTCCTCCACTGAAATTCCCAGTCGTGCACCTCCATTACCCATGGAAGCTTTGGACATCCTCGTTGGCTATAGCTTGTTCAAGAAAGATGACCTTTTTGCCCTTTCTCTTCTTTTAGGTTTCCATGGACTTCTTCGAACAGGTGAACTGTTGGGCATCAAAAAGGCACACATAGAGCAGAAGGGACCCCGAAGTGTCGCAATAGTCTCCCTCGGGATGACCAAAGGTGGACGGCGGCAAGGCGCAGCCGAAAGTGTCACAATCCGCGAAGAAGATACTTTGAGACGCTTATGGCAATGGAAAAATACCCCAGGTTCTAGACCTTCACTCTGCGAGGCTGCACATGTCTGGCGAAAGAAATTTTCTGAGTACTTGGAGGCGACTGGTCTCAGTGAGCATTCTTTTAGGCCCTACAGCCTGCGAAGGGGAGGTGCCACCTCCTATTTTGCAAAACACGGGTCGCTAGACAAACTGCTCATAGCAGGTAGATGGCAGGCGGCAAAGACCGCGAGAATATACATTAATGAAGGACTTGCGGTCCTGGCAGAATTTCAATTGGCAACCAATGCTCAGGCTAAGGCCTTTCGAAGGCAGTATGAAAGGTCCAAATCTTTAGAGCTCCAACCCCTTGAGCGTGCCCGAATGGGCAGGGCTGGGGGAACTGGAAGGAAGCACAAGAAACCCAGGAAGTGAACTTTGTTTTGAATTCGA